TGCAGCATGACTTTAAACTAACAAAATTACAAGGGTATTTTTGTAAGAAAGAACACAAGGAAATTTTTAGCGAAACTAATGAAATTAGTGAAAGGAATGTGATAAATATCATTTCAATTTTAGTACACTATTTCGACTTTAAATGTGATTTTGACCATTTTCGAAGTTGAATTTGGCGGAACTCAAAACCCCGAAGTTGTATTTCTTCAAGTTAACTTCATAATTCAACTTTAATAACAAAGATTGAATACTAGATGAGAAAGATACGAATGAATCAATGAACATTGTCCACAACTTTGATAACTAAAATTCAAAACGTAACTCATTCATTCAGAACTTTGTCATCCGACATTCAATCTGACTGATTTAAATTAAATTAGAAAACTAACTCAAAAGACTACAATTTTCGTGTTCTAAATTTTGTCAAAATCAAACTACAAAAGAGTCAAAAGCACGTTCGCAATCAAACTAGTGTTACTAAAATTGAAACGATATTTAACATTTCAATTACTGTAATTGAAATTACTCAAATTACTGAATTTACTCAAATTAATTATATTAATGAAAAGTACGAAATTAATAACCGTAATTTATGGGATGTAATTTTAAATTGGAAAATATTAGTCTGCTTTAGATTTAACAAGACAGGCACAAGCATCCAAATCCCACCGAAAGCAATTTTAACTTTAGTAACCTAAATCACGCGACAAGATTTCAATAAAATACTCTGTCACAACTGTACATCAATTATTATTTTTCTATCACCTTTTCAAATCAATTTACTCCCATTCAAGAAAAAAAAAGAATACGCATGCAATTGAACAAATGAATTATTTATTCGACTATTCATAGGTAAAAAATACAGTTTTTATCCCTCAACTTTGTATTAATTTCACATTTAGTCCTCAAATTCACAATAAATATATTTGGTCCCTCGTGTTTTAGAAATTCAATATTTTCAGTCATTTCCGTCGATACTCTGTTACTATTAACAGAATCAAACGTGTGCCCATCACTGTCTTAACTAACTAACGATAAATTGACGGAATGGCAGAAAGTGTTAAATTATTTAAACATAATTTACCAAATGTGTTTTTTTGATAAACGTAGGGACCAAATATAAATTTAGTGTGAATTTGAGGGATGAACACCATAATTTTTCCATTATTCATAATCATACTGTAACATTTTTTTTTACTTAAAAAGATTATTTTGTTGATATTTAATTTAAATAAAAAAACAATTAAAACCGATATTTACCTTAGCATCAAAACCGAAGCGACTAACGCCTTTCCAGCTGTCCAAATCATAGGCAGTGAAGTGTTTGCAGCAAGCAGAGGCCTGAAGATGGCCGTTATTTATTTGCCGTCCCTCAACTTTACCATAATTATAAATGTCCCCCTGAATTCCCCTAACAAATGCTACTGCATATTTTCCAGCTACCAATGGGTCCTCGCCAGGTGTCTCGTGGCCCCTACCCCACCTTGGATCCCTAAAAATATTTACATTTGGTGCCCAAAATGTCATCCCTTTTACTTGCCCTTCATTGTACATTGCACGCGCCTCTTTCCCAATAGCCTAAATTCACATTTGTTCAAATTAAAAACAATTAAAATACTTTATTAATACCACACTTAATTACTTATATAGATATCCCATTTGGTGTACATTCATTTGGTTTAGTATCAAATTATATACTAATTTAAAGAAAAGTTTATTTTAATTTCAATTTAGCTGAATATTGCTGCAAATCGTGTTGTAATTAAGTATAATTAATTTTCTAATATATAATTAATTGAGTTCAATTAAATCAATATACATTTAAACCTTTATAAACTATCTATAAACTAATACAGTCGGAACTGACAAAATTCTATTAGTTTAGCGAAATATTAAATTATTGAACTATAAATTTAATACGTTTTCACAACGTCAGGACCAGAAATAATTACTATTTGACTATTAATTTATCGAGGTTTTACTAGATTTTAAAAATTGCTCTTCTAGATGCTACATTTAGTTAAATACAATTGATATTGTAAGTAAATTTACACACAACCCTACACATATAAATGCATTATTGTGGATATATGCAGAGTGGATAATTATTAATACACGAAGATAGTGAAATCTTCTCCAATTTATATGATTGAGTATACAACATAAAACAAAAACCCTTAACAAAATTATGTTAAAGTCACGAGAGTACTTTTACTATATTCTATAGTCATAAATCGAACTTAGATTAAAGTATGAAACATTTAAATTATATTTGGATTTATAGTTTCGTTAATCCAATAAGTTATAGAATATAGATAATTATCAAAATGGACTCGATATTCTCAATATAATTAAACAGAGAATATAATAAAATGGAAAAAATATAGTTTTTATCCCTCAAATTTGCACCGATTTTACATTTGGTCTCTTATATTTCAAAAATTCAACATTTGTAGTCTTTTCCTATCAATTTCATGTTAAAACTAACGGAATCAAGCATGTGCAGATCACTAGCGGTAAATTGACGAAAATGACTAAAAGTGTTTAATTTATTGAAAGACGAGGGACCAAATGTGTTTTTGGTGAACATTAGGGACTAAGTGTAGAATCGGTGCAAACTTGTGGGGCAAAAAGTAATAATTATGATTTATGCCACATTAATTATAGAGTAAAAAACAATTTGCCCCCCAAACTATGGGTCGTTTTGCACTTTGCCCC